TTCAAAGTATAATTATTACAATTATAACAGCGAAATATGCGTTATAATATTAAGAATATTATTCACAAGTATTTCTCTGGAGAAAAATATTAATTTAAAATTAATTTGCATGTGTAAAATATTGTGTTATCGTATTGGTAAGTTTTATTCAGAAATATCAAATTTGTCTGAAACAATAATTAATGATAATATTATATAGATAGATAATATTATAATTGACATTTGTTGCGTAAATTTAATCTTTGAATAGTAAATGTGTAATCTTTGGATAGCGAATTTCCATAAAATCGGTCGGTACGTCGATTTTGTAGAAAATAATTTTATAAAAAATCTGTTCGAAACTACACAATGTGTATGAACTGCAATAAATACATCCTGCTAAAAAAAAAAAAAAAACTGTTATTGCCGCTTTTCATCCTGTTCCCTTCTTTTTATTCCGAGATATAATATCTTGTGGAGGAAGGGATGCGCAATTAAGCGAACGAATGCATGTTGCATTGATAAAGGCTCTTTTTTTTAATGCGATATCATCGGCAATGACAGTTCGATATGAATAAATAGCGTAATGGTGTTTGATCATTCGTGATGAGAGATTTGTTAATGAAAGAGTGCTTGTTGCATACTTGTTTCATGTAACAAGGCTTCACATAAACGTAACAATTTATGTGCACATATAAATACGCATTGCTTATACATAGGATCATATATTGTTGTATCAAATGGCAATAAAAATCATCTGATGCGTTTTTCATTTAATTTCACCAGCGCCTTTATTAGTGATTAATTTATCAATAGAAATAAATTATATACAGTTTTGAAAATTCTTTTTTTCTTTAATATTCTTCTAGTATTCAGATGCAAAGTAAGAGATATTTGCAGTTTTTTTTTAATAACATATCGAATCATCTTTGTAAACTTTACATAAAATAATTATATAATATAATATAAGCTCTCCTCCCCTCATTAGAATAAATATTAATTTATAATATAATATAATACAATATAATATTAATTTAAAATTAAATTATTTATTTGTAAATGGAGTATTTAATAATTTTAGTTGAAAAATCTTGTTTTTTTCACTTCATCTATTTTCATTTTATCTGTCATATATGATAGATACAAAAGAAGTTAAATCCCTTAATGAATTAGATTCGTAATTATCAAATTACGAAGTAAAACATTTTTTTAATTATTTGAGAGAGAGAGAGAGAGGGGGGGGGAGAGTAAATATTTAATCGAAAAATTATTATTAGAAAAAGAAATAGTTGCTTCGGATGTATGGGATGTAGATAAAACAAAAAAATAATCACTTAGGAAGTATACTTGTACATAAAATCTAATGAAAAAGAAATTAAAAAATATTACGCCGTTATCATTTTAAAGTATTAACAAGCAGGCATAATTTTTATAGATAAATTATTGTAATTACTGTTGCATTTGTAATAGGTATATTTGGTTAAGTTACCTGTTACGAATTAGTAATACACATAGTATCTTTTAAAGCTTTTTATATATATACGAAAAGAAGAGAAGAAGCTAGAATGTAAGTGGAAGCTCGAACTTGGCTAAAAATAATTGTCTCTTATAGAAGTGGAGTGCTTCTTAGAGTCTGAGATTCGACAAAGGCAAGGTCAATCGATAGGGAAATCTCATAAAATATGTGCCGCGAGAGTTCTCTTCGATATTTTCGACATTTTCCTTTCTGTCTTTCACAAGTCTCGCAAAATTTGGATTTCATGTGTATTTTTGTATATAATATATGTATATATGATGAGTTTCGTAGAATGCATTTTGTAAGCGTTATCAAGATGACGAATTAAGGATGACATTTTCAAACATAAATGATAACATAACGAAATTATTAAAAAATTACAAATTATTCTAAATCACATTTAAAAATAATACGACAAATTTGTTTTATTATCTGGATCATAAGTTATTTAATAAATAGTAGTAGTTCTTAATAAATAGTAATATTTCTCAATTTGTGCTCTGTGATATAAATATATGGAAATGTATTATAAAATGAATGATAAAAATTTCAACTTTTAAATATAAGTACATTATGTACTCAAGTTCATTATGTATTATTTACGTAGAATTATATTGCGATGTATGAACCAGTAAATAAACAAAATATTTATTTGTTCTGTATCTTTGTAACTAATTAATGAATTGCAATGAAATTTTGCATAAATTATTTTGAATATTTAAAATGCTAAAATGCTAAAAGAAATATATAAATTTTTTAATCATTTTTTAAAATTTTTAATTATAAATTTTAATTTTTAACAATAAAAATAATAAAAAATAAACTACCAATATGTATTATAAAAAACAAAAATATAATCTTATTTACACAATTTTCATATATACACAGTTTATTTGAAGTGTAAATATGAAATATACTTCTAAATTTAATTTTTTTTGCAGGGACTGTATGTCTAATATATTTTTAAATGTACAATCGGACATTCAAAAATATATCACACGTACAGTCCCTGCAAAGAAAATTAAATTTCTAAGTATGTTTATTATTTATACTTCAAATAAACTATACATATGAAAGTTGTGTG